TATAGAACATAAAAATAAACCTCATTAAAAAATGAAGCAATTCATTTTACAGTCACACTCATAGAAAAACAAGGCTGTGGATTTGGACATTATTTATTGTCAACCTGAGCCATCTTTGCTTTGGGGATGAGTGTGGTGTGGTAACACACATTTGAAGAGGTTGAACTCAGGTCCTTAAATCATATTCAGTGCTGTAAACCAATGTTGCCTCAATAAGAGATAATATATACGCGATCCTATTTCTCATAATTTTGACATTTTGAAATGTGCGTAAAATTTTTAAGATTTTCATGTTTACTTTTAATTATTATTTCATCAAAATATAATAGCTGGTATGTGTGTGTGCTTCTGAAAACAATGTATACTGCACTTTCTCCACTAGATGTCTCCAGAGAAATACAAGTAAATATTTCTAATATGAGTTGCTTCTAATAAGCACCCAGTTTTAGTTTTCAAAGAATCTAGTTCAACTAGGGACAACTATATCCACTGACTACTTAGTATGAGAGTTAAATCTGTCACTTGATAGATTTTTATAGGAAATGAAAATCTAAACTTACGGAGAAAAATGACATTCACATTTATCACAGAAAGCCTTCTGTCCTGCTTTTAACTGAATTGACATTAAAGAGACACCCTTTTATGTTTATTTTGGGCTGAAGTTAGTCGTCATCTCTTTCTCCGAATATGATTTCATTATTTTATATATGTTAGGCCAGAGCATACCCAAAAGACCCATGGAAGCAAGTAAATGAAACCCACTGGAAATATATGAGAAAGATGGCTCAGGGAGTTCCAATTCTTGTAGGCTTTATAATGTGTTGCCCACAAGTACTGAGTCTCTGTGACTTCTTTAAGTTGGCCATCGATTAACTTTATTTTAGTTATATGAATATTTTAAAGAGGAAAAAAATCACAACATTTATTTTTTGATTAATTTGGATTTCTTCTGTTGACTGAGTTCAGCATAATCTAATAGTATGAAGAAAAAATTTCCCTCACTGCAGGAAAATGAAGATCACAGCATCTTTGCCAGAACTTTAATTTACAAGACTACAAACCCAGGTACTGAGAAAGATTGAAACCCTCTCTCCCCAAGGTACTTCAACCTGAGGAGTGCTGCCCCCAAGAATGTGTGGCATTAACTTCAGGACCTTATAGTATTTTACAATATCTATTACCTGTAGCTTGCAAATAGGCCAGTAAGAAAGAAAAGTGAAATTCAAGAAATGGTAATCACCTACAGACCATGTATTTAAAAGAATATGGTTTGAAATAACTTGGGATAAATTCCTCTAGGCCATTCAAAACCATTCTGGTTTTAAAAATCTGCTTTTGGTTTGAGTATACAGGTTTGTTGAATCCATAGACTTTGTCCTAACCTTAAGGGTGAGGGCATGTTTAAGGTCGGTGACAGCCTGCTCTTATATTACAATGACTTTACAGTCATAAGCTTTGCTACTAAAATCTACCAGATAATTCCAAAACTGCCAGTAAATTAGCATCTGATAGCTGGAAACAAATGTCTCAGTCTTTCAGACATTTTTCTTTACATAATAAACCTTTTTTTTTTTTTCATTAATGACTAAGATTTCCGGGTCAGATCTTGTAACCCTGAACGTAAGATTTAATTACCAACATTTCAATCTGCCTCCAAACTGCTAAGAAAATTATGCAGCAAACCCTGAGGCAGGTTTGTTTCATAAGGCACAAGAATAAGGGTATAGTGTTGAGAGAGGGACAGAGACACAGAGAGAAAAAGAGAGAGAGAGCGCACGCACACAAGAGGGGGAGATTTGACTACTTCTCTGAAAGTAGAAATTGTGTCCTTCCAAGGATTTTTCAATCTTTTTTCTATAGCTTAGACAATCTTTTCTTCCATTCTCTGGCACTGCTTTTTTTCCTTCACCCTATTCCAAACTGCCAGTTACAGATCAGGGTTTAATGATTAGCCTCCTGAAAGCCAGGATTCTGGCTACCACAGTTGCTTGGAATTTCTCCTACTATATATTATCATATAATATTATACTTTGGGGCTGGGTTCAGCTTTTTAAGTTGTAGTGCTATAATGTTTTTATATTTTCCCGAAAGTTTCCTTCTCATGGAATGTTCTCCGATCTCCAGATGTGTACGATCTGGTCCTCATTTTCAAAATCTTCTTTGATGGCACTGCTCATCCAAAGTGTAAATATTTGTTAAGGACTAGCATTTGTTAATTTCTGTGGGACTTGTGTACAAGTTCTAAATATGATACTAAGGCTATTATTTGAAAGTCTGAAAAGAAAGATTTAAGAACCTGCTTTTTATAGTATAGCATCTATCATGCTTTTTACAAAAAGTAAATCATAATCTCCAGTCAAAAGGTAGTCAATTTTTGAAATATCAGTACATTCCTATTCTCACTATTCATCTCAGGCAATTATTTGTCCATTTAGACCACTGAAGGAATCAGGATGAATGGAAGCCATTGACTCCAGTGGAAAAAGCTAGGGTCACAAACAAGTAGGTCAAATTTGTTCTTGCAAATGATTAATGTATTTTCAACTTATTAAGACAATCTTAAGAAAGCAAGGAATGATTGATTCTGTCTCTACCCCTATATTCATTATCAAATTTATCTGTTATCATTTTGGACTTTATTTAAAGGGCTCTTTTATTCTGGATACATACTAACCAAATCTCCCTCTTTCATTCTATGTACCTCATTCCTTTCTTTCCAATCAAATGTCATTGGATTTGAGCAGATTTCTGCTTCATTACAGAAAAGCACATTAACAGTTAGAGTTGTCCAAGATGAAAAGGGCTGCATTAATAGTAGTGAGTAATACCAGTAATGAGTCACTATTTACAGTGGTGATCTCAGAGAGATAGCTGTAAGATACTTTTTGATTGAAAAGTATTAAAATACAAATATTTTTCTATAACCCAAAATCCCATTGTTATGATTGGAAAATCAGTAATCTGTTATACATTATACTGTCTGACCAGTCTAGAACTGAATATTTTATGTAACTGTGTCATTGATCAATAGTTTTCTAACAACTAATTTATTGATATTAAGTAGAATTTATTTTCATTAAAAAAGTTTCTTTTACCCTACTCAATAAGCAATTGTACAACATAAAAGTAATAGAAACCTATTATATAAAGCAAACCAGAGACACAGATGAGGTTAGAATAATTCCTTTCAGAGAAATATAAATAATAGAGCTATTCTTTTCTTTTGACAGGGACTAGAAAAAGAATTTACTTTTTATGCCATCTTCTCTCCAGTTCTCCTTTCATATTGCTTTTACATTTTCTATGCTTTAATGCCAACACTTTCAAATTGAGAAGAGCCTTCTGAAACATATTTCAGAATACATCATTCCATTGTGTGCTTTCTTAAGAAATGAGCAACAAGTTGTAGAATTATTTTAGTGCCCCAAGGTAATATCATATAATAAGCTTAATATAATTCTTCTGCTACTTGGAATCTTCTCTGGCTCAGTCCACCCTCCCCCTAAAAGACCTTCCAATTGGACAACATGGAGAAGCCACATAAAATTACTCTGCACTGCTGATGGGGAAACACACTGATAGACATTATAGAAGGAACACCTGTAACAAGATCTATTGGTAATGTGCTTTGACATTACACAATGCATAACTTGTGTATTCAAGGAGGCTCTTGGAAGTTATTGTTTATTCTTTTTTTTAATATACTAGCAATTTCTTTTTTTTATTTTTAAAGATATATTTATTTATACAAGCACTGGGTACAGTCAGAAGCGTGGAGGGTGAGAGAATTCACCAGAGCCAGAGCGGAGAGCAGAACAGGCAGACTGGTGAAGTACACTGCTGAGGGGAGCAGCGGGCGGCAGGAGAGGTCTGCGCGCCATGCGAGACCCTCCTCCCGTGGCCGGGGAGCAGCAAGGGATTGAACCGGCGCCGTGGAGGCTTTGGGCAGCTTCACAACCCACTGCTCAACCGCTGCGCCACCGGGGAGGCCCTATTGTTTATTCTTGACTTCTAACATTCAGATTTCTTTTATACAAAGTTCTGAACATTTAACACACATAGGGAGTGGTGAAAATGCATGTTTACTTGCCTAGGAATCATAGTATTGCATGAAGACTTCAGATACTCTTGATAAAATCACACAGAGAAGGATTCTGGTATTTTCTCTGTTTTTCAATACGCATTTGGTTATTCTATTACAGTGAGATTAGTAATACTTGTTTCCAGTAGGGGCTGCTTTTGTTCAGTGGTTATCAGTAGATGTGCTGACTGGAGATGTTCAACATTACATGAAGTATGTAATGAAAAAGTAATAAAATACAAATATTTTCCTTGCCTGCTTCATTTCAAATGTTAGGGAATCTTGCCAGAAGTAGATTTATGTTAACTCTAGCTAGTTCTTGAAATTTAAAAACGTAAAATGGGAGATGTCTCCTCCAGTTTAGGAAAAATCTGATCTCTCCTGCATGATTTGCCAGCAAGTCAGAAGTCTTACATATTTTGTGCCAATTTTAAATCAATTGAACATGTTTTAATCAAAAAACAGTACTCCCTTGTAATTATCAAACTTGCATCTACCTCTGTTTCCTTATGAAAATAGTAACTTTTAGTTCTGATGTGAATTGAATGTGACAAGGTATGATAACATCAAATAAGGATCTTATTGAGGAGCAACATACACTCTGAAAAGACAGATTGCAGATTCTCTAAAACTCAAACAGAATCATTTTCATAAATACTTTGAAATTACAAAAGAATAAAACTGAACTATGAACATGTAGTGAGTCATCTATTAAACATCAAGAAATATAAATGACATAAAAATAAATATCTTCTTCCTAAGAAGAAGTAAAAGCATCTCAATATGTTCAGTAAACATAACCAACAAAAGCAGATCTTAGCTGGCAACTTAAAGTTACTGATGTTTTCTGGAAAGAGTTCAGTTTCCCAAGTTGATGTAGTTAGTGCTCCCTCCCACAACTCTGACATGTATATAAACTCTGAGCTCTCCAAAGCCTACTGCCAGATCTCTTCGTGACTAACTGCAACAGAGACCAAAGATGATTCCTTTCTTAACAATATTTTCTCTACTCTTGCTGGTTGTTGTTAACCCTGCAAATGCCAATGGTCATTATGACAAGATCTTGGCTCATAGCCGTATCAGGGGCCGGGACCAGGGGTAAGTCAGTGGTTTGGTTTTACAAACCTTATTTTCACCCTTAGTATGTCATATGTATAAGTACATAAAGTTCTTTATATATCTCAGGATTTTTTCTACTTCTAACAAAGTATTCAGAGAAAGGACAATGTGAGTAGTCTGTGTTTTATGTGTGTATTTTAAACCTTCAGAATTGCTGTCAAAATAACTTGTATATAACTGCTTTTAAGAAACATTCTATAATTTTAATCCAATTAACAACATTTAGCAGGCATTGTTTTATGATTTAGCTTATCTTCTGTTTCCTTCCAAAAATGTGGAAAGAGACTTTCAAAATTAAAGAATCTATGGTTAGAGGCTCTTATTAAAGAACTTTGAAATATTTAAGAAGTTAGAAAAAATTTTCATTTAAATTACATATAAAAACCAAGCAAGGGGTAATGCAACTAGTTTTCTGAATTACTTGACTCTTAAATTTAGCATTCTGTAAAATTATATAATCAATTAATATATAATAAAATGAATTCAACTACATTTAGCATTTTAAAAGTTATCAAACATAATTTAGAAACTTACCCAGCCATTTGTAATTATTTCTAAGTGGATCTTGGCACTTTTTCCTATGTCTTAGGGGGATTTTCATAAAGCTCAAAACCTCCCTTGCTCACAGTACAAATAAGACTTTCATCTCTTAAAAAAGTGAAAAAAATCACTTAAAATTCTGGCAGAAGATGTTCTGATCTATTATTTCCATCCAAAGAAATAAGTTTCCTTTGTACAGCCATATCATTTAAATTAATTTTAGAACTTGTGTGATTATCTAGATAATTACAAAGCATTGTGTCTTTGGACACAGTAAAATTCGTCTCTTTGGCTTTTTACTTTCCCATTGTTCCAGAGAGCAGAAAAGCCATCCCCACACCCAAAATGAACATATGTTTGGTTTTAAAAAGGTCAGTGGGTTATTTACTATTAAAAATAATAAGATTCATTAAAATAAAATTATGTTAAACTTAATGCTACCTGAATATTCCTACTAGCTTGACTGAGAAACACAGACTTTTTACTCTCAAGAATGTGTTTTCTTTCCCTAACTCTCTCTATGTTGCCCATAAACTAGATTTTCCAATGATTCAGTAGAATTGGGTCAAGAATCATATTTGTGCAAGAACGGAATTACATCTTTAAAAACCAAATCTACATATTAACTATTTTTTTTAACCACTGATCTGTAAAGATGGAAAGCCAGTCATCATTAAGATATTAACTCTTTCCTTCCATCCATCTTCCAGCCCAAATGTCTGTGCCCTTCAGCAGATTTTGGGCACCAAAAAGAAATACTTCAGCACTTGTAGGAACTGGTATCAAGGTGCCATCTGTGGAAAGAAAACGTAAGTATCACCTTTTTCTTAATGAGCCATTTCCAAAAAGAACATTATGATATCCATGCCTTTCCTTGGGCATATGAACCATTCTTGAAAATATGCTCCCAAATTCTGAACTTTGAAAAAAAGAATGTATCACATGCATAGATATAGACTGTCTCCCCATATTTCTCTTTACACTAGTGGAACTGTCATTATCCCCGAGTCTGTGTGTCATGGAGACCCAAATGAGGCAAAGCACATAACAATGGAATTTGGCATAGAAGGAATATGAGCTATTGATTGATTCTGTCATTTCACTCCTGAGTTGGTTGTCTTTTATCTTAGGCAAATTAATTAACTTGTTGCCTCTGTTTACTCATTTCATGTGAAAAATGATCCAGAGGAACAAGTTGAAGTGAAATATTAGGATATGGAGAGCAAAAATTAAATGTTTGCCTACAGTCATTTGGCAATTATTGAAAGTATACCAGTTGACCTCACTATTTCTTCAAAGTTTAGATTGGAAAGGACATTTCATCTCTTCATTTAATTCTGTCATTCCATTCCAAATGGCCAGATCCCTAGGGTTCCACAAAGACTATCACGGAAGCCCGACACTATCTTTACTTTCTCAATAGCCAAAAAATTTACTGTTTCTTTACATTAGCTATATATTTTGCCAATCATGTTAACATTGGAAAACATATTGTATTACTTAGTAGAGAAGCTTATTAAATGATTTCATCAAGAAAATTGGTGGAAAAAGCACAATTCTAGGCATATAAAAGTTGAGAATTATTCATGTGATCCTATTTCTTTATTGTCAAAGAAAAGTGCCAAGTCACAGATAGAACAGTTCATTAAGCCAAAATGCTAAGCAGTGCAATCACAGTCAAGAAAACAATGGGAAAGGCTTCCTGTTCATTTGGACCCCACCCTCAGTGAAGTATGCCTTGTCAACTAAATTGAACAAGATAAAGCAATCATCATTAAGGTCCAGTTATCAACATAGGTGGAAGGATTGGGGGACTATTAACAACTTTTTCCTAATAATATTAATACAAATAATACATATGGTAACAGCCTCTTAGAGTTTTCTTGACCTATGAGATAGGGATTTAATACATACAGATTACTGAAGGTAAAATGAATTAAAAAATGTGAAATTGTTAAGTAACTCTAATAATATTCATTGCCCCTAAATTTAAACTACTTAAATGAAGATAGATAGATAGATAGATAGATAGATAGATAGATAGATAGATAATAGGAAATGGAGTTGTGACCATGTGTGTATTTTAAATGAACAGAATTATCTTATTCCAAATAAGAATCATGTACTCAAGGCATATAACCTTAGCTGGACCTTTCTTCTCCATAGCATCCATGTCAAAGACACCACAGAACTTGGCTTCCTCTCCCTTCTCATTTACTTAATAGGATTTCAGTTGATGTTACTGTTTGACCTGAACATTTTTCCTATTAGTTTGAAGACAATTCCTAGACTTGTGAGTTATTCGCATAATTACAACATAATTCAGTGGTTACAGTGATCTTGCCCACTTTATAGACTGGCACCAGTTGAGAACTGCAAAGCTTTGGGTTTTCCTTCTTTTGTTCTTTATATTCTTGGCTACCAGTGGGGCATATTGGAAATGTCCATGAACTACTTAAGAAAGGACCCGCTCTCTGACATATTTAGTGGAAATCTTTATTGTCTCTCTATTGGAGACTAGCAAAGTATGACATAATCTTACTTTAACTTTCCAAATATGTTAGAGATGCCAAGGCTTGTACAGAGCATATGCCAAGATTCTTTCTTGCTTTCCATTAAAAAAAAAACAAAAATCCTGCTTTGAAACCAGGTTTTTACTAGAAATATAAGTGTTTTTTTTTTGTTTTAGATTTATTTATTTATGCATACAAGAGCTGGGGTACAGGCCAGAGGTGTGGGGGGGTAAGGGGATTCACCAGAGACAGAGTGGGGAACAGAACAGGCAGATTGACTGAAGTACACTGCTGAGGGGAGCAGCAGGTGAGTCAGGTGAGGTCTGCTGTGCCATGTGGGTTGCTCCCTGGCTAGCCGGGAATAGAACTCATGCTGCAGTGGCTGTGGATAGCTTCATAGTTTGCGTCTTAACCCTTGCACCACCAGGGAGACCCAAGAAGTATAAGTGTTATCTTTGTTAAATTATAATGGCTTATTTTCACATAAATAACTTTCTTCTCATAAACACATTTATGTCTATACTCTGCAGTAAGTGTAAAGGCAAGTTACAAATTTCAAATAACAAAAGAAATCAATAATATTGACAAGAAGAAAGCCTGATTTGCCACCTACATGCAACTATAAAACTTCCCAAAGACATCTTGTGGACTTAATGTATCAGTTGACAGAAGTGCTTGTCTTCTAGTTTTGAATGGTTGCTTTGGGGATTTAGTGGAAATAATGGGGTAGGTCTAGTGAAAATTATAAAATGTTCTGTTTAAGATATTTTAGTTTGGTTTAGTGATAATGTATGTTGTAGAATTTCTTTTTAAAATGCCAGTAACATTTTCAGTTAACATTTCCAAGAGATTTTAGATAAGAAGAATACATTTCTCACACTATTATTTATGGGCTTATTCACTCCTTTTAGGTTCTACTGACTGTACAGAACTTTGAGTTTTGTGTAGCATAAATGTTCTCCTGAGAAAACTATTTAAAAATATCAGCTAAGATAACTAAGATAAGTATTGTTCAACTGTCAGCCAAAATTGCAATAGACTGTTTTGGAATTTTATTCTATGTAGTGTATTAATTCCCTGCATTAAGGCTGGTCCTTGGGTTATAGCAATAGGTATTATGGTAATTTTTGTTATATTAATAGTTTCACCTTCTATCACTGTTTAACCATTATCATGTAACTGCAGTATTATTATCATATTATGTAAAAATAATGTATCTCATTTCTGTATTATTTGCAGTACATGCCAAAGTTAATATATAAGCACTTCATAATCTCTTGTATCCAAATATTCAAATTTATTTATATGGGAATCTGTAAATGAAATTGTTTTTGATCTCAAATTAGGATTTGCATAAGGTTCTCATATACTTTGCATACATTTTCAATACCAACTATTCTTGGAAAATTATTTTATATTAGAGAACAATTGAAATGACATTTCCCACTTACTTTGTCCATGTCCTCTTATGACTATTGTTTTTTTTTTTTAAAGATTTATTTATTTATTTATTTATACAAGCGCTGGGTACAGTCAGAAGCACGGGAGGGTGAGAGAATTCACCAGAGCCAGAGCGGGGAGCAGAACAGGCAGACTGATGAAGTACACTGCTGAGGGGAGCAGCGGGCGGCAGGAGAGGTCTGCACGCCATGTGGGACCGTCGCCCGGTGGCCGGGGATCAAACCGGTGCTGCAGAGGCTGCGGGCAGCTTCACAACCCAGTGCTCAACCGCTGCGCCATCGGGGAAGCCCTTATGACTATTGTTAAGCCAATATTTCATGACAAGATTTTTTCTCATCCATGTTTTCATATTTTACTATATATGTACATTCAAAGCAACATTACATTGTGCTTTTAAAATTTACAATTAGAACAGAGCTAAACAAGAATCAAAGATCAAAAACATGGATAGCCAATTAATAGACCTGGCTGAAATTTAAAAGCTTATTTACCTTTAATGATATAAGAATATTTCTTACATCACTAAAAATTTGACTTTTCAAAAATTTATTCTCACTATAAATTTTATTATACTGAGAGAGTGTGTTATTTTTATATTTGACAATATTTATCTTAAATATAGTCAGTCTTTTTTTCATTGACATTTCTTGAGCAAAATTATCACAACTAGATAACAAGAAAGAAAATACTGCCTGAATTAAATCCTGTATGTTTAATCACTAAATTACAAGTTACTCTTTAAGTAATTCTCTTAATTTATGTGACATGAATTTCTCAATCAAAATTACAAAATGGTCTGTATTTCCTCATTTCACAATAATCCTATCAGTAGGTATTGTAGCCACTATATCCACTGTTTTCAATAGCTGGGGAAACTGAGACCCAAAGTTATTAAATGACTTGCTCAAGGTCACATATCTACCAAGGAGTAGAAGTGGAAATCAAACTCCATTCTTCTGGTTCAAGATATAGAAACTTGCCATGAAGCTACAGAGAAAGATCAAAATAATCTAAATACCATTGTGTCATTAAGAATGTTTATTCTACATTCTCAATAAATCATTGCAATAAGTGATTTTTTTAAAGTATGTTTCAAACTGTTTCCATCCTCCATTAAAAAATTTTCTTCCAATGTATAGGACTGTGTTATATGAATGTTGCCCTGGATATATGAGAATGGAAGGAAAGAAAGGCTGTCCAGCAGGTAAAATTTCAATTAATGAATTAAAAGATGAATTTTTCTTATATAAGAAAAAAGTTGAGGTATCTCGATTTGCAGAGAAGTCAATTGTGTTTATGTGTGTATGTGTGTATTTAGCCCCATGATAAATCCAAAATATACCATTTGATGTTACTCATGATAAAGCTTTCAAACATACTTGTGCAGTGGATGCTAGACCATATAACAGAAGCCTAGTCATAAATTTAAGCTAGTTCAAATTTCAAGAAAGAAAATTCCCTCTAAAAAATTCTTTTCTTTGAAATTGTCTAGAAAGATGAAGCTGATTAGTTAGCAAAGCCTAATCCTCTCTAATTGAATAGCTCTGGTCTTATAACTTTCTTCATATTGAAAGTTAGTTTATTATAACTCTGTTTACCAGAGAAAAAAATAGTTCATCTATTTCCTCTTTGAAATAACAGTTATTTGGATATTTCACACCAATCATCGCACCTTTCCTCCAGTTACCTTATCTTCTCTAACAAAATCTTCTCTCCAGACTAATCATCCCCAATTATTCTAATGTGACATACATATTGGGGTCCCCACCATTATGAACACAAACTCACAAAAATCCTCTATCCCAGTTATCTTTTGTCTGAATTTAATCCCAGACTGGTATCTACAATCCATGTGGATCTGAGCAGGTAAGAGATTATCAAGACAAATACCTCAATTTGGGGGGCTCCTGAACTTTGGTTAATATCATTGGTAACCATGTCATGTCATTAGTTCATACAGAATTTGTGTTCAATTAAAATTGATTGTAAATCTTTTTCACATGAATACTATCAAGTCAATTTTTTATTTAGGATTTTTTTTCCAGCTTAAACATGACTTACACTGTACCTCATTACAGTTAGCCTGTTCATTTTGACTCATTTTCCCGATTCTTTGGGGGTATTTTTAAATCCTGATTTTATAATTATAAATTAAATGTGTCACTTAGTCTTGGTATAGTCACAAATGTAATAACCATTTCTCCTGTGATATTATCATAATTACCATTAACTTTCAAATCAGACAGGGTAAGAAAAATAAGTTGACTGTACCTACCCTCTGGTTGGCACTCATACAGTAATATTCTTTCTTAAGTTCAGGGAAAATACTCTAGAAATGTTAGACACTTTAACCTATCTACTCCTAAAATTATGATGAAAATAGCAGGTCTACTTATTTCATCTTTGGAATCTAACTATGAAATTTAAAACCCTCTACCTAGCAGTATTATGCTATTTAGTAACTTTAGACGAACATAAAAGAAAATATTGCTGTTTCCATTCTATATGAAAGGTAAAGGTATATGAAATATAAGCTGGATGATATTTTAAATTTACTTTCCTTTAACACAGTGGGTATATGAAATAAGTTTTCAGTAGAAATTGATTCTTTAGCACTCAAAGGCAATTTACACATAATGATGAGTTATAGAATTTTATTGCTAAAATTATCAATTAAATGTGTTGGGAAACCTAATGGAAGATTGAGAAATATTTTTGAAGTATAACCCTAAGCACTTATTCATCTCTTGATTCTTTCAGTCATGCCTATTGACCATGTTTATGGTACGCTGGGCATTGTGGGAGCAACCACAACACAGCACTATTCTGATGTCTCCAAACTGAGGGACGAGATTGAAGGAAAAGGATCATTCACCTATTTTGCACCGAGTAATGAGGCTTGGGACAACTTGGATTCTGTAATTCATTGTTTCTATTAATATAATAATTTCTGTTGTTATTGTTATTTCATTTGAATTGATTTATTAACCTGGAAATTAATAGAAATTTTATATCTTTCTATTACACATTTATGAGTATACAAAAAAGGATGGGTAACTGAGTATTAGTAAAACATTTTAATACATCCATAAATGGAATAACTCCCCAGAAGGTTCACAGATTAGCAGAAAACACAAACCAACAGTGGAGTGAACAGGCACCATTATTCTATTTTACTCCTTTCCTCTTTCTATTTTGGAGAAATATGTTTAATTTTAGATTCCATGTCTAGTGTAAACTTAAGAATAGTGGCATTTAAAATTTATTATAAACTACATTATACAAGTATAAATAACAATTCTGATTATATGTCAGTATATATAGTTATTTAGGTACAGATATGTGTGGATATTTAAATGAAGGGTCCTAACAATACATTTGATTTTCAGACATTTTTTGCATATTAAGATTTCTAATGAATGGAATATGGCTCAATTTCTAAACCCGTAAAAGTGATACAGAAATTACATAGACAGTGGAACACTATCTATTAATAGTTATTAAAAAAAGATAAACACCATTTGCAACAACACGGATTCAACTGGAGGGTATTATGCTAAGTGAAATAAGTCAGAAGGAGGAAGAAAAATACCCATGGTTTCATGTATGTGTGGAAGATCGAGAAATAAAACCAAACATCAGATAAAACCAAAGCAAATAACAAACCCTAGAACTCTAACCAGAATTGAGGTTACCAGAAAGAGGAGATTAAAGTATGGTAAAGGCACAGTGGTGAAGGGTTAAGGTTGCCTTAGTGGTGAATGTAGTAACATGCACTTGAAATGTATGTCTTATACCTTTAAAAATATACAGTGTTGTAAGTTTGTGCTACCTCAAAAAAAATTTAATAATGAAATGAAAATTATTAAAACAAAAAATTTAAAGAGAGAAGTATTCTTCCTTTGATAAGATATGATAGTTGATATGAAGATGGCCTGTTAATTATCACTAGATTTAAATAATATTTAGTAAAATGTCTTCCTGGTTTGCTTTGCTAACTCTGTTTCTTTGCTTTAAGAATGGGTCTCATTAAAGTCTCTTCCAGGAACTATACTATGTCTCTATGTATACTACTGATGATTTCAGCTATCACTTTAGTTCATATAACAAGAAATCTGTTTCTTGTACTTACTCTCTTTGGGCACACCATTTGCATCTTTTAAAAAAAGATTATGTAAAACATTTTCTTTCTCTCCACAAACAACTGCTTTTCTGCTTCTTATTTCCCCATAATTGGCAATACCAACCTCAGTTATGAAACTTGAAAACTTTGAATTATCCTGACCTCATTTCTCTCCATTTCTTTCAAATTACTATTAGTCACCCATGTCTCATGTTTCATCCACCTAATTCTCTGATTTCTGCTGTGCGTTATTACCAACTTAACCTTCCTAAAGCCAAGTCTCATCATTATATTCCAATGCCACAAAATTTTCAGTGGCTCCCCATTACAAGTTTCTTTTTGTTTTACTCAAACAAAATTTTCCATTTTACTGCCCCACATAACTTTCTAAATTTCTTATGTTAACCCATAACAGTATATGCTAACCAAACTGGTTGAATGCTTTAGTTTATTATGGAATAAATATAAAATTCTCATTAAACCCAAATGTTATATAAAAATATGATGCCATTTTTATTTTATCCCTCAAAATATTTTATGTATCTAATAATTTCAGATCCCCCTAAACTTTTCATTTACATAAAGATGACACTTGACCAGTATATTTATTTAATGATTTTGTTTTATCTCTAAAAATTTCCAAGCATTCTATATGAACTCTAATGGAACTCTAATGGAGTACCTAAACGTAGAAAATTTCTTAATTGATTGAAAATATTATTTGTGTCAATTTGATTTGATCATCTGGTTAATCTAATGAGAAAGTTATTAGTAGAAATAGCATGATTATAAAAATTATAATAATTAATCACAATAAAATAAACATCTATCATTTCTTTTTTTTCTAGGATATTCGTAGAGGTTTGGAGAACAACGTAAATGTTGAGTTATTGAATGCTTTACATAGCCATATGGTTAATAAGAGAATGTTGACCAAGGACTTAAAAAATGGCATGATTGTTCCTTCAATGTATAACAATCTGGGACTTTTCATTAACCACTATCCTAATGGGGTAAGTTTTATTCATTAAAAAAGTATGTTTCTGAGTCATATCCCCCTTAATTTTATCTACATATTTTGTATAATTTTTACAGAAATAATAAAACATCAATGAATATGTGTCATATTATGATTTTCTCCCACATTTAAGACATGTGGATTTCTAATTCAGTGACTGATTCTACAAAAGAGTGATTGTGAGGAAGAAATTAAAGTAACAATTAATTGAGAATCAACAGTAGATCTTCTACAAAACAAAATTTTAGTAGGTGATATGCTTGAAAAATATCAGAAAAAATTAAAGTAAAAATTTATCAAAGAAAATTTATCAAAGCATAATCAGAGGATGAGTATTCCTTTAATTATATTTTGCCTATTGTACTAATTTGGGTTCTTGCATGTTTGGATAGAAGTCTTTGTGAGAAATTTCCAACAGGGTCAGAGGGAATCTGCCAGGACACTAAGGGTCACTAATCAAGTAACATTTAGGAAGTTGCTGGAATTGCACCATTTATATTCATACAATGATTATTTGTTTCTCTGTCTAGAACATATTTAGGACTAATTTCAGTTCTTTATGCAATTCATTGTATTACACTAGAAATAGTTTAAGACTTCTTCTATAAAAAAAAAGAGTGAAAGCAATAATTTGAATGAAAAAATCTTTTACTTTTGTTTCTCTACATGGTATGTGTTACTGGATGCGGGTTTGCAACTGGTTTCATTTCCTTTTAGTTTCCTTTTAAGAAATAATGATATTATTTTCATTCTCAACATTTACACTCAAAATGTTGGTTCCTTCAAGTTGCATTTACCATTATAAATGAAAAATAGGGCATGGGTTGGTAATCTCAGCAGTCAATGGATAGTTCTAAATTCTGCACTTCCATTTCTTCAAATAATTACAGGTTGTCACTGTTAACTGTGCTCGAATCATCCATGGGAACCAGATTGCAACAAATGGCGTTGTACATGTTATTGACCGTGTCCTTACACAAATTGGCACCTCAATTCAAGACTACATTGAAGCAGAAGATGATCTCTCATCTTTTAGGGTATGTTCAACTAGTAACAGAAGATTGTCTTATATCATTGAGAGTCTTTCTCTTTCCCTGTTAGAATCTAAAAACAATAAAAATTCTACTAAACAAATCTTGCAGGAATGTAACAAATATGTATTTTGAAAATGGAAATTTTATACAGCAAAGACCATCTCCTCATATGAAATATTACTTATGTGAATGTGATAAATGAAAACTAGTTATGTGACTGTAGTGTATATAGTATATTTAGAATCTGTCCATCTAAGTTATTACATGTACTGCTGGCTATTGCTACAATCACATGAACATTGGCAGAATTCCCATTATTACAAACATAGTTTGAGGCAACTTGGAAAAGACATAGTTAGCTATGCCAAAAAGTAGTGTTTTAAAGATCTAACAAAAGCAAATTTCTACAGTTTCTATAGAATCAGCTCCCTCATGACAGCCTAGGCTAAGAATGTTATAATTTTCTTTTTGATTTGCAATGTGAGTGCCTTTAAAAAGCACATTTGTTTTTCAGGCAGCCGCCATCACATCAGATATACTGGAGAGCCTTGGAAGAGATGGTCACTTCACTCTCTTTGCTCCTACCAATGAGGCTTTTGAGAAACTTCCACGAGGTGTCCTAGAAAGAATCATGGGAGATAAAGTGGCTTCTGAAGGTACTAAAATGTCTTCCTCTGTGAGAAACCTCCCAGAATGCCAAGAAAAGGAAATAAATTACCCAATATTATCAACCTTGATAATAAAGACAGACTCCTATTCTGAGGTGGAATATAAAAAATATTAAAAAAACAAAATCATTGAAATTAGGCAAAGAAACTGAATAATTTATTTAATGCTTAATATAATTAAACAAAAATATTTTAAATACCATAATTTTTGTACAACTTGCAAGTGAATAAGTAGCAGATATTAAAAAAGGTAAGTTAGCAAGTGTTGAAAAGAAATACTAGAGCAAAATTTAATATATACACATTATGCAATGTTTCTCATTCTAAATTTATGCCGAAATGAATAATGGATTTGAGAAAATTATGTGATTATCTTGGACAATTACTTGACCTGAAAGTTTGCTCTTATTATTTTGTCTTTCAGCTCTCATGAAGTACCACATTTTAAACACTCTTCAGTGTTCTGAGGCAATTATGGGAGGAGCAGTCTTTGAGACCTTGGAAGGAAACACAATTGAGATAGGATGTGATGGTGACAGCATAACAGTAAATGGAATAAAAATGGTGAACAAAAAAGACATTGTGACAAATAATGGTGTCATCCACCTGATTGATCAGGTCCTAATTCCTGATTCTGGTGAGCAAAAAACAAGTTTCATATTCTTTTGTTTAATACTGTTTACTAACAATGACTCATCCAGAATGAGTCCATGAAAAAAAAATGCACAGTGTAAGAAATGAAATGTGATACATAAACACAAAATAAGTAGTGAGATGAGTACTAATAGGTCACTTAAGTAGTCATGGTCATTCCACATATGGCATTTTGACTTTCCAGGGTTTCTAACATGTAATATTTATAAAAGTTTCTAACACCTAATATTTACATTATTTTTAAAAGTTCTTTTTTAAAGATTTATTTCTTTATGCATATAAGAGCTGGGGTGTAGGCCAGAGGTGCAAGGGCTGGAGGGTGAGAGGATTCATCAGAGACAGAGTGGAGAGCAGAACAGGTGGATCTACTGAGATACACTGCTGAGGGGAGCAACAGGTAAGACAGGAGAGGTCTGCTGCATCATGTGGGTCACTTTCCTGGCCAGGGATCGAACTCGTGCTGCAGTGGCTGGGGATGGTTTCATAGTGCTTAGACTTAACCCCTTGTGCTACCAGGGAGGCCCCTATAAAGATTCTTACAATGCCAGTTTTCCTGAAAACAGAAGAAATAATGTAACCAAATGACCAACTTTGGAAATGTAAAAGCTAGAACAATCACATGAGTAGAGAAATCAGGAAGTACTAATAAAAATCAAAGAAAACAAAAAGTAAGACAGAAAGATATTTTTATTCTGAAATTCTTTGGCCTTAGCAACTGCAAAAAAAAAAAAAAAGGAACTAAAATTCTCTTGCTAGAGAAAGATGAGATACCTTATCACATTGCCAGTGCTGCAAATAGCTTCTAGAAAATAGTCAAGAAGTGGCTTATTAATTTCATGATGACAATAGTAACAGTGATGACATTGTTAAAATGGTGTTGGTTTATTTTACAGCCAAACAAGTTATTGAGCTGGCTGGAAATCAGCAAACCACTTTCACAGACCTTGTGGCCCAATTAGGCTTGGCATCTGCTCTGAAGCCAGATGGAGAATACACTTTGCTAGCACCTATGAATAATGCATTTTCTGGTATGTATTGGATACTCTCACTCCTGCTTCCCCCTCACACACATTTTTCTCCACCATAATTGTTTTCAAAAAGAAATAATAGATATTTCACAGTATTGATTCGTTTCTGCATTACTTACAATTCTGCAATATAATGTTAGCACCATGTAATCCCACTAAAATGAATTTCATTTCAAAATATTTCTTTTTAAAAGATAAGATTAAAAGTTGTGATAAGTGGTGTTGAATTATTTTGTGAATCTAACCATATTTCCATCGTAAATAATAGATATATTAGTAAAGCTTAAAAAATAAATACAATTTATTCAATACCAACATTATAATACCTAGGAACAAATAGATGCATTTTGAATGTAAAAATTTGAAAACAAGGTGTCAAAATATAAGTAACAAAAATGAGACAATTTACACTTCCATATTATGATGTGAACTGCTTTAAGTATTTTACTTAGTAACTGCTATTCAAGGGTCATATTTAGATTGAAACAACCAGCCACTTTTTCCAGAAAAATGATTTCTCAAAGACATATTTCTTAAAGACATATTACACAAAAATTAGCAACTAAAGAAATAAATATCCCCTCTTCAATATTTTTCCAAATACTAAATTATTTAGAAATAATTAATAACTATGGGTGTCTTGGTGGTGGGTATGGTATAGTAGCATATATCTGAACAGATGTAATCCTATATTTCTGAATTGTAAACAGTATTGTAAACCAAAGTTACCTCAATAATAACATATTCAAAAATCTGAAAAAAGGAAGTTATTAATAAAAAAGTCAAATTCTGGCACATATTATGTTCCCTTTTTGCAGTAATAAATATACCCACAGTGCTGACACTAATCTGCTTTTAAGAGAGTGTGTTTTGATTCTCTCTCCAGTTTTAAAGATGGTTTTACAAATGATTCACCAGCAGTCTTTGATGTAACTAATGAATATCAGAAAAAATCTTGGCCAGCATTAGAGTTTAACATTTGCCAATGACCATATAAAGCTATGTATCCCTCACAGAGATGAAACCCATTGTTTGGACTGCTTTCAATTAATTTGTAGTCATTTTATACAAAAAGTCATAGGGTTTCCAATTGGTGCATAGACTTTCTAGACTTGAGCATCTAGCAGGCACATGTATTATGAGTGTAGGATGTATAATACCAATAGTATTAAGGATTTTCCATTTTCATTATTTTCTCTTTCCTAGAGAAACTTTAATGCTTTCTAAATAAAACAATAACCTTCCTTAATTTATTTATAGATGATACATTGAGCATGGACCAGCGCCTTCTAAAATTAATTCTACAGAATCACATCTTGAAAGTAAAAGTTGGTCTTAATGAGCTTTACAATGGACAAAAACTTGAGACCATTGGAGGCAAACAGCTCAGAGTCTTTGTGTATCGTACAGTAAGTGAATCAATCAATCAAAATATGCTTATAGCTCTCCATGTGAAATGACACGTGCTTCTCAACAAATGCCATTACACAAATATTTTCCAGAGTTTTGGTAATATGGTTTTATTAGTAAATATTGGCAAGAACATCAGAAAATCGAGTCATTTGTGTGAAAAGACTGGAGGAAAGTATGTTATGTTATAATAATTCAGATATTTTATTTGTTAATTTATAAATAACTATGTTCTAAATCATTCATTATTTCAATTCCAGAAATCACCAAAACTCCTCTAAATTCAGTTAATGATTTAGAGAGTTACTTGTGGTTTATAGGGTAATTTTTATATTGAATCAAACATGTAGGATGATTTTCTTACTGTAAGATCACCATTCAGAAACTGAATCTCTTTGAAATAACTGTCAAGATAAATTTTCATAGACATAAAGATTTTTGAGCCCTACAAAATCATTCTTATTTACTTTTATCTGAGGGAAAGTTTTTAGAAAATACTGTTTATAAGAATTAGAGTGTACCTAGCAATGCTCTTTAGTTTCTGTCCTAGTAACATTGCAGCTATGACCTAAACATTTTGTAAAATATAAGGCATTACCTAGCATAGAATATGACACACAGCAGCTGCTTGATATAGTTTCAGAATTCCAAGACACACATTTTAAATGATGCAGGAAATGTGTTCCACTCTAAATCACACACACACACACACACACACACACACACACTTGTTCAAAAATGCTGTAATTAAAGCATTTGTTTTACCTAAAATTGATAGGATTACATAGTTAAGAACACAGTAAATATCTATGAAGATCACAAGAGGCACTGAGGTCAGGAAGGTCCCACGGAATTAAAGCATTAAAATTTTGTGAAGAGGGTACAGAAGAATGATTAGACCTAGAGAGGAATGACAGAAAACGTAGTAGTGGAGTGAATAGATTTTTATTTACTAACAAAACTAGCTGCCTTAGTAGTGGGAAATCAGCTAAGTTAGAAGTGTGAGGTCAGATTGTTCAAGATCTTAAAATAGAGAGGAAAGAAGCTGCTTCGGCTGTTTTTACAAGTCAAGTGATCTCCTCAAAGAGGCTATCCAGAAATCTGTGCATTGGGTAGCTACTTCCACACAAGAAATTTCAAGTTTGGAAATGGAAAGCTGCATGTTTCTTTCTTTGTTGACTAGGCTGTCTGCATTGAAAATTCATGTATGGTGAGAGGAAGCAAGCAAGGAAGAAATGGTGCCATTCACATATTCCGAGAGATCATCAAACCAGCAGAGAAATCCCTCCATGAAAAATTAAAACAGGATAAGCGCTTTAGGTATGACCATTAGTTTCACCTCCACAGAATTAATGGTACCTATTGGCATATTTTTGTTTCACAGTTAGCAGTACCAAAGGCATTATATTCGGTATTTCTGAGGATAGAGTTTAGAATAAGAAATTTAAATGTTTTCAAACTCCATATGTTTAAGAGTATTTATTTTGCTTCCTGGTACACCATAATATAATCCAATAAGTGAAAAAATTCAAGTAGACTGAACTACTACTTGTAAATTTCTTTTTTAAAAAAGGTTTATCTATTCATGCAAACAAAAACCAGGGTACGGGCCAGATGTGCAGGAGGGTGAGAGGATTCACCAGAGATAGAGCAGGGAACAGAACAGGCAGACTGACTGAAATACACTCCTGAGGGGAGCAGCGGATAAGACAGGAGAAGTCTGCTGTGCCATGTAGGTATCTCGCCAGCCGGCCAGGATAGAACCTGTGCTGCAGAGGCTGCAGACAGCTTCACAGTGCTGCACCAACCACCTTTGCCACCAGGGGAGTCCCTGCTTGTAAATTTCTATATAAATTATTTTTTTAGGGCCTCCCTGGTGGCACAAGGGGTTAAGATGCAATCTGTGAGGCCGTCTGCAGCCACTATAGCACGAGTTTGATCCCTGGCCAGGGAGCTGCCCACATGGCGCAGCAGACCTCTCCTGGCTTGCCTGCTGCTCCCCTCAGCAGTGTGTTTCAGTCAATCTACCTGTTCTGTTCCCTACTCTGTCTCTGGTGGATCCTCCCACCCCCCACGCCTCTGGTTTGTACCCCAGTTCTTGTATGCATAAGTAGATAATTCTAAAAAAATTAAAAATAAATTATTTTTTTAAAAAATTGATCACACACATGGTTATTTTGTTAGAAATGTTTATGGGATAAAAGGAGTTTGAAAACTTTTAAAATTGTATTGTATGTTTAAATTTTCCCATAATAAAACTTGCTGAACAGTTAAACTGCACTTAAATGAAAATATATGAGCAGTTTTTTAGTGATTTCCACAATACAAGAATTCTAGTTTATTCCATGAATTGTAGGTGAGCACACCTAAATCTAAAGCTAATAAAATGAATATATGTCATTCCTGTTTAGCATCTTCCTCAGCCTACTTGAAGCTGCAGACTTGAAAGCGCTCCTGACACAACCTGGAGATTGGACCTTATTTGTGCCAACCAATGATGCCTTTAAGGGAATGACTAATGAAGAAAAGGAAATTCTGATCCGTGAGTAGAAGTTATTTACCCCATAATTTCACAATCTCATTTCTTCCACCAGAGTTCTTACCCAGATGTTAGCCTCAAATTGCCCCCTCTTTCATATTCATGGCAAACCTAGGTTTCCTTTAGTTCCATTTGTTATATGTGGAGGGTCACTTATTATTCTTAATTACTGCTTACCATCATGTTATTGGGCAATATGTTCAATTGTTATTTCTATTAAAGGCCTCACAATTAGTTGACAAAGATGGAAATAGTCACAATTTCAAAAATAATTAGATATTTTCTCTCCCAGTAAGTTGGTTAATATTTTGACTAAACTGATTGAAATGACTATATATTTTGATAGAGCATTGATAATCAACTGAGGGAACAATAGCATAATGAGAAATTATACTGTGGAAAAATGACTAACGACACAGAAATGTATTTTCTTACTCCTCAAAGTATCAAAATGTCAAAAAATATGACCTGTTATTTGATAAACAAATGAATATATATCTTTCCTCCAGGGGACAAAAATGCGCTTCAAAATATCATCCTTTACCACCTGACACCAGGAGTTTTCATTGGAAAGGGATTCGAACCTGGTGTTACTAACATTCTGAAGACCATACAAGGAAGCAAAATCTACCTGAAAGGAGTAAGTTCTCTGGAATGAATTTATGATAATTTTCATCATCATTCAATTACTTTAATATTCATTTTTCATTAAATTTCTCATTACATTACCTCTGTTTTGATAGGTAAATGATACACTTTTGGTGAATGAATTGACATCAAAAGAATCTGACATCATGACAACAAATGGTGTTATTCATGTTGTTGATAAACTGCTCTACCCAGCAGGTTGGTAATTATTGAACTAATTAGTGAATGAAGTAAGTTTCTATAAAAACTAGATTTTTATTTTACACTTTCTTACTGATATATATTTAATTTTCTTCTTCATAGACACACCTGTTGGAAATTATCAGTTGCTGGAAATACTTAATAAACTGATCAAAGACATCCAAATTAAGGTACAGAATGTTACTAAATTCATTCCTAACATGTTGAACAGATATTGCAAGTTTAACATAAGAGACTAGAAATGTAAACATTAATAAGTAGATGTGTACTGACTTTGGATTGTTCCTCATTGATTATATACCACTGACCCACCTATCAAGAAATAGTACCTTTCCTTATTGTTTTATTCACCAAATAGCCATTAAAAAGTTATATGGGTCCAACTAATATATTAAGTGCTATGGGAAAGATCAAGCTGAGTCAGATATGGCCCTTTGTTTAAAAAAGTCTACCATTGAGTGGAATAGATAAGATATGTACCTAGAAAACTATAATATTTTTCTCATCAAATATCATTGCTGCCAATATAATAGAAAAAATATAGTATTTACTTACAAAAAGAAGTCACTATTCATAGTAGTATTTAAAGGCAAGAGTATATATTTTTTCTTCACCTGTATAGGGTAGAAGTATCAGAAAGCATATGACATATCATTTAATAAATATATATATAACTTTGGATAAACTGTTCTATAATTTTTAAGGTTGAATAACAAATCTACTAATTTTTATACCATCTGGCCTAATAACAGGAAATCAAAAGATGATTTATCTAAATACTTCATTTCTATTACATTAGTGTAGTGGTAGTTTTACTATTTTTATTTTAGTAAGAATTGAAGTGGTGATTTTGTTAATAAAACTACTATATTTGATGTAACTAAATGTAAGTATCTACTTCCAGTTTGTTCGAGATAGCACCTTCAAAGAAATACCCATGACTGTCTACAGTAAGTACATAACGATTATTTGTCACATATACATGGCAAGATGTAAAAATAAAAACCCAATAATTATCTTTGTATTTATAAACAAAGATAATTGATAATCTGGTATACAGAATTCCAAACAATGGCAAGCCTTGTCCTACTTGAAACAGAGCTTGAGATCTGAATGAGAATTCTCAATCTTGGTCTTACCCTTTAACTCCAATGAACTACTTCCCCACTCACTGGAAAAATAGGAATGATAAGATAAGAGAATGGCAGCCAAATACAATAGCTAGCTTGAAAAAGAGGAAGGGAGAAAAAGACTTACAAGATACAAAAAGGAAAAAAATAGCAGAACGGCACTTCATAGTTAGCTGAAAATGCAAATGTGTGGACACAAAAATCACATTACCAAAGGACTTGTCAATGATTTCACCCTCGAGCACTCAGCCATCTAAAGGTAGGATGGGAGATGGTGTGCCAGAAAATCCTAATGTTTATGAGTTGGTTCAAAAACCCTCCATATCCAAAATCGAATGAAGAAATAAAAAATTTGCTGGTGATAAAACTTAAAGTTTCTAGATTCCAATGTACTTTGTCTCTGATGCTACCAGATTATCAAAATTTAACCTCTACTCCTTAACAATGGTAAAGAAATTTCATTTCTCATAAACGTAATATTTGTGATATTTCTTTTCCAATTGGGGCTTTTTCTTCCTATGCCCTTTTCTCTTTCTTTAATTATCATTTTTTCTGCAGAAATTATTTTCATTTTGTTTTGACTCTACAACTAGACTCTCAAAACGTATCAGTAACTAAAGTCTATTTCAATTCCTACATTTATCCTGGTTAGAAAAATATCCTATTTTATACCATGAGCGTCTGTTATTTAATGAAAAGAGATTTAATTAAGATTTACACTGGAAAAGAGTGAGACAATGGAAGGAGCAAAACAAAATGTCTGCTGTGCTTACTGATTTCAATTATGTAATGATAACATACATAATTACAGTATTGCGCCGGCTCTGCACAGTTCTCTAGGTTTAGCTGAAATAGTTATGATTCAACATAGTATAAATTCAATAAGGAATAATGCAGTCTTGTTAATGATATATTTTATAACAAATTAAAGAATTCTTATGGGCTCTATTCATCAGAAATGCTATGTTAAATTTCTCCAAAAATTATGTAAATCAGTACCACATTTCTTTTCCTTTCCTACTTTAGCCAGGGTAGGTCCACTACCATCCATTTATGCCAATGCACTAATTTGCTTACAATGAGCCAAAATATTATGACACCATTATTTTCATCTGTGAAAATTTGATCCTCACTCACAGAGGATGTTACATTGTGTGAAATTATTATAGTCCAATGGATCACACCAACCTGCTTTAGAGCCTGTGACACAACTCTGAGATTTATAATCCAATATCAGGTATTTAACTCCTCTCCAGATGAGTATACTTATTTAGTAGCATACTTAAAAAAGAGGTAGAGACTAATTACACCAAAGATTTCACTTTTACAGTCCTTTATGCAATTTCTTGAAATTGCAATGTCCTTGAAATACATTATTCTTGTTCCCCCAAATACCATACATTTTTAAATTCTATGGGGAAAATGCTCTTTGGCATATGTTTTCAAGTTGATAATATTTGAGGTAAATAGCAGCATTTAATCCTCAGCCTGAAATCTGTCAAAGTCTTCAGAAAAGCAAAACTGAAACAAAACTACCAACCAACTAAATATCATAAACTTTAACTTCTCTAACATGAGGTGGAAATTTAAGATGAAAAGTAATTAATCCATTTCTATAGCAGAAGCTGAGATCTCTGAATTTTAACTTTCATGGATAGACCACTCTGTGGCAAGACCACTTACAAAACTCAATAATTGGCCACAAAGATCTGATATATTTCAGGTTTCATAATTTAAGATCTCAAGATATAATACCAGCTATGACTAACATATAGTCATCATTAAGGCCTAGAAACCATCTTAATTTAAAAAGTTGACATAGTTAAACATCTCAGAAACCTGAGAATGTGACAGAAAGGCAAACTGTGCCACAATATGCTATGACTTCGCAGTTCATTATCTTACAGAACCACTTTTAATGATTTTAATTAGAAATGACAGTAGTTCTGGTTGTAAGGGACCAGAGGCATCTTTCCAGTTAATCTGCATAGCCAAAAGCCAACCAACAATTAAAATAATGACTATTATTTTAAAGAAAATGTGCATATTATATCTTAATTGGGTATATGCCATGCCTTCAAAATGCATACATTATTTTAAAAAATGGCAATGGTAACAAAACAGAAATAAAAATATTTTAGCCTCTAACTGAGATGTATATCATATCATGTTTTTGTTGCATAGAGCTCATGACTGGCTGGCTAATATAGTCCTTTCTATATCCCTACTATCAAATGCATGAAAATGTTTTGAATATTTTTGTCTTCTATTTAAGAAAGAATCCAATGATGCATTTTAAGATATTATGAATCACATGATATTAATCATGTTTATTTGTCTCTGTTGCAATACAGCCATTATTTTCAAGAAGTACAAAAGAAGGTAAAGAGCTTTAGTGGTGCAGTTCAGAATGATAGATTTCTAGATAGAAATTTTCACTTAGTGAATATATAGTTCACTGGAACAAATCCAAGTCCCTGGACTTCAGAGTTCACCATCTGGACATGAGAAGACACTAGATAATGTATCATGAATAGTTCCTGGATTTGCCTGCCAGAATATATCACATCTGATACCTCAGTGGGTATCAGATCAAAAAATAGGACACTGAATCAGGGTGTCTTCATGGAAACATCATTTATGTTCCACTTTCTATACTTTCAGCAACTAAAATTATAACCAAAGTTGTAGAACCAAAAATTAAAGTGATTGAAGACAGTCTTCAGCCTATTATCAAAACTGAAGGTAAAAATTAATGTTATACATGGCTCCTTTTATTATGGAAAAAAACTTAATAGACTGACTTCTATGAATGTATCTACATTATTTTTTGAAACTAACAACCTAAATATTTCTTTACCAAGGGCATGCTCATGTGACTGCAGAATGCAGAATGCAAATTGTTTAGCAGAGTCATAGTGCATTCCTAATACTTTCAGTACATTTGCTTGATACTTGATTTCATTTGAGCCTGATTGACCAATGTAACAGCACTAGTATCCAGATACTCACTAAGCAAATAAATCTTGAGCTTTTTTTAAATGACACTTCTACTTCTTTTGGAGAGTGTACTATCTGTGAAGTTTTGCTTCTGATCTTTTTTATTATTATTGCAAGTTCTTCACAAAAAGTGAAGGCATTTTTCATTCAACCACCTAAGAGAACACAGAAGTTGTTCATTGAGAAAAGTCTTTAAAATTATAGCAATACATGACTTTTTTTTAAATTAGACCACCGGAAACAAAAGTAAATATATGGTCAGTGAACCAAATCTTAGACTCCTTAATCCCTGCCCTAAACACATATATATATTTTTATATATATATTTATATATATATGAGATTAGATATTCTTATATACATATTTATCATATATATGAGATTAGATATTCTTGTATACATATATAGTTATATATAATATATATGTACAATAGGTATGTATACTTCTCCCTTTATGCTTCAGACTAAAACATTAGTCACCTTTCTCTCTGTCCCTATTGTCTGTTAGCCAATTCCTACATCTGTGTCCCCACCTTCATTTAATATATTTTAATTAGCAAGAACAGACCTTAAGAATGTTTTATATCCATGTAAATGCATTTTAATGCTGCAATTTACCACAAAAAAAGAGCAGGCTATCATCTTTATTATGTAAAAATGGTAGATGCAATCTTCTAAAAAAGGAACAGATTATTCCTCACTTGTACTGTTCCTCAATTGACTCTCAAAAAACTATTACTGTAATTATCTTTGATTTTGGAATTTTCATTCCAGAAAGATTCTGTGAATGAGATGATGATTCTAACTTTTTGAATAATTTAGACTATTCTTTTAAAAGTGAGTCATAACTTAAAACTTAAACACCGGAGACACACATGAAAGATTATTTCCTCTCTAATTGGTTATCTATATTTTTATTCATTGAGACCTAAAATTGATGTAATCTTTGAAATCTGTTTATTTTTGTTAACACATACCCATGATCATTTGTTTTTATATATTAGTGAAGGGAATTTGGTGTTTTTAAGAAAAATTAAATCAAATATTTTGTTGAGAAAATGTTGATCATTTTAATAAAAAATTATAAGATGATCCTTTTAATATTTTTGTACTTTTGCTAAAAAGTAGACAGCATAAAATTTTGTATAATCACTTATACACAGCATCCAAAATCAAAATCATTCACGTTATTGTTCTCATTTTAAAAGTATCCTCTCTTTTCTTTTAGGCTTCTTTATTCAATTCACTTATTTTTCTCATCTCTGTTAGCAGGATTCTATCATATTAATCTTTCTTCAACTAGGAACACAGTGGAGTTGAAACTCTACTTGAGTTCTTCCTAGAAAGGGAACAGGAATGAAAAATGGAGGCATGTCACCTATGTGTTAGGAACTCATCTGTTCAAAAGTTCAGAAGATTTAATTCTGTGTCACATACTGAATGAAACATATATTTGTTTGGCCATCCATCTCCACCACTGGCACTTGTTCTCATTCTTCAAACTTTTGCAACATCATTGATGACTCTTAATTATTACTAAATAAATTAGACTGCAAAACAAATTTTTAATATTTTTCTTATAAAAACATAACCAAATTTTATAATTAAGAATAAATCAGCTGAAATTCAATTCAACAAGTACTTATAGAGTACTTATCATGCTAGGTACTCTCCTAGCTGCTGGGAATAAATGTGAAAGAAATTTTTGATAAAAACACCTGCTTTCATATAGCATAAGGAGAAAGGATATTTCTGGAATTTCAGTTTTAGTTCTACTAAAGAAATGTCAACTTGGATATCTTGTTAAGTCATTTCCTGTTCTTAAAGTCCTTAGCTGTATTTTCTTTTTGATATTACTACAACTTAAAACCCTGTACATTTTGATACTAAGTAACCCTTTGCCCCAGAGATCAAATATTATGGTGTTTGAGAAAATTATACTCTTGTTTTCATTATTATAGATTGTGCTACACTATTTAATTCTGAGTAATGGTGTGTACATTCACAATTTCTGGACAAGCAAATAAATCTTAAAGATAAGCAAATATTATTTTTGACATTAAACTATTGAAGTGCATTACAGTATGAGTTAAATGTACTGAACCTTATTTTTTCTTCTATTAAATAGTTTTGATTAACTAATATAGTGATCAGCTTTCTAAGAGTCAAAATGATTTTCTCTGTGAACAAAAGCATTTTACAAGTTAAATACAACATTTGTTTACCTTTTACATTTGAAGGACTATTTATTAATTAGTAAATATTTGCATCATTTGCATATAGAAGGTAAGTATGCAAATCCATTTTTTCCATAAAACCTGAAATTGAGTGTCTTAAAGGTAGGTATAAATTTGTTTTTTTTTTTTTTAATGCTTGGCTTTATGTCCATTAGATTTAAAAATGTAAAATACTGACTGATTAGAAACAAATTAAAAAAAACTTAATAAGGAAAGCATAATGGATGCAATCAGTATGGTAAATTTAGAGCTATATTATTTATCAGTAGACTATGTCAAATTTACATATACTATAATAGGATTTACAAAGTAAAGTCATACATATTTGTGTGATTATACATTACGATTATGAATGCATAGATAGAATTTACACATCAATTGAAGCTAAAACAGATGAATGTTATTTTAGTAGCACATCTATAGACTGAGTCATTATTCTCATAAATACCCTCTAACTTGAAAACAACCGAAAATGTTTGAAACTGATTTTATAAAGCCTAAAACCACTTTGACATTTGAATAACACTAAATATTGAAATAAATGTCTTGTTCTAGTAATATTAAAGGACTGCTTTTACATGATAACTTGTCTCCTAAAGCAATGCATCAGGACCCACAATCACAAAGATCAAAACTGAAGGTGAACCTAAATTCAGACTGATTAAAGAAGGCAAAATAGTAACTGAAGTGACCCATGGACATGCATTGTTTATTTCCCAGAATCTAGTCAGGTTCACTGTGATTACTTCGAAAAAGTGTTAATTTAATATACTGAATGTTTGATGTTTCCTCTTGACTTGCTATGTTTTATGTAAACTGTTATGGACTTTTTATTAGGCAAGTTAAATATGGCTTATGTTTTAGTAGATCAAATTGGAATTTACCAAACCATTAAGTCACCAGGTCCAACAAAACTGTCATCATTCTGCATAAGCAAGTAATGATCATGGAATACAAAGATAACAATGATGCCCATACCAAAAAACACATTGAACTTAGAAGACAAAGTGGCCATTGTATTATACTGAGTAATAAACCATAGCCTGGACTCATTACAAGGCTTCTATTGTAATGAAGTAATATTCTCACCAAATAATCTTTCCAGTCAGAAAACAAGGTAACAAACCAGAGTTACTTTGCCAGCGAACTTCTCTCACCCAAGAGCCAGGACATAACTGCTACTGTAACAGGGTGGTCCCCAGGAAAGGACACTACCTTTAATCTGAATTTATTTGAGACTGGTCCCCAAAATGATTAAGATTGAATAGTAAATGGTATTGCTTTGAAAAATGTATTTTAAATTTCTAGTTTGTGGCAACTTAGACACCATGAGAAGATAAAAAAAAATGCATTTTTTCATCCTCTGCATTCAGAGCCAATTATTAAGAAATACACAAAAATCATTGATGGAATACCTGTGGAAATAACTGAAAAAGAGACAAGGGAAGAGCGAATCATTACAGGTGATCTTTAATTTCATCTGTGGAACTCTGCCTGGATTATAAAAATCAAACAATAGTTAATCCCAAAATAACTCTAAGAGTCATTAGAGAATAACTAAGTCATTTTCATGGTGATACTAAAGTGACTTCATTTCTATTTGGGCAAAAATAATATTCCAAATATACAATCTATGTTTTTTTTTTCTGAATTAGAAATTAGTAGGCAAAACTATCCATGTATTTTATTTTGTGTATGCATACATTATATAATACTCTGTCTTCTCTTGGCTATTTATTTATTTATATATTTATTTTTTGTGGGACCCTCGCTGGTGGCTGGGGATCAAACTGGCGCTGCAGAAGCTACGGGCAGCCTCGCAACCCAGCACTCAACCGCTGTGCCACCAGGGGAGGCCCATTCTCTTGGCTATTTATTAATGAGTTAATGACTTCTAGAAGAAAAGCCTTTCCCTTTGGTGATTTTCCATTAGTCTTAATGTTTACACATAGATACCCCAAAATAAATGCAAGTTTGTTTACTAATTTCAGTAAAGTTCTGTATCAGTTTCCCGCAAATAAATTACCTTAAAATTTTGAATTGGATAATCGGTAAGTAATTGATCAAATGATTTATTGGAACATTGTGTATACATTCATTTATATAATGCTTATATATTTTTTCATATTATAATGAGAGTTGTATTGTTGTGACACAGATTATTAATAGTGAATTGACCACATTACTTTCATATCTTTTTTCTTCTGCCCAAGGAAAATGTAATATGAAATCATCTAATGAGTCTGCAATCACATTAAAAGTTTTTTTAATATGCAACATTCTTATTATTCAAAATTTAAAATAATATACAACAGTATCCAGGTAGTATGAAAACTAACTTCTACCCCTGCCCCCTTCCACTTAATTTTGCTTCCCTTACCTACCTTATTGGGAACCACTTTATTAGTTTCTTTTATCTTCTTTCATTATTTATGAAAATATAAACAAATAAGAAGATATATCCCACTCAAAATGCACCTCTTTCATAGATCTTACAGATCTTTCCTTACATATACTATCAGGGCAACCTTGCTTTTATCTCAACTACATGAGATTCTCTTAAGTGGAGGTGCTACCATTTATTAACTAATCCCAACTGTCTTTTGCTAATACAAACATTACAATGAATACCTGTACTTACTTTTTTTTTTTTTTTTTTTTTTGTGGGACCCTCACCAGTGGCCGGGGATCGAACTGGCGCTGCAGAGGCTGCGGGCAGCCTCGCAACCCAGCGCTTAACCGCTGCGCCACCAGGGGAGGCCCATCATTTATTTTTTAAAAAGAGTTATTTTTAAAATTTAATAACATTTTAAGTTTCTTAAAATTTTTATTGAATTTAACACTGGTTTATAAAATACAAGTTTCAGATTTACATGTTTGTAAATCATTATCTGTATATACTACATTATTTGCCACCAGAATTATTTTTACTTTTGCAGACAATATTTGCCAGAAATCTTCATTTTCCTTCCTGGAAACTATAATTCAAAACAATAGAGGTTTTTTTTTTCCTCCCCTACCACACATTGATCATCATTTGCTATGAGTCATTTATCTTCCAGAATAATTACTCACTGATGTCAACTTAAAATGCTTCAGTGTGGAAGCAGTCTAATGTATGCTGCTGTTGTGTAACTGTATGTATTTTACTAAAACCCAAGGAGCTGCATACTAACAATGACTGAATTGTATGGAAATCATACCTCAATAAAGCTGCTAAAAGTGAAAGAATAAAAGGGAATTTTCAAGTTAAAAAACAAACAAAAATAAAATAAAATTCTTAACATTTGGTTCTTTGCAGAGGAAGTTTGCCTAATCTATTCTAGATCTTATTAAATTGTCTTTCTTCTAGGACCTGAAATAAAATACACTAGAATCACTGCTGGTGGTGGTGGAGAAACAGAAGAAACTCTGAAGAAATTATTTCAAGAAGGTCAGTATGACTAGAAAAAGAAGATTATGAATTCAGCTAAGCTATCTGTATCAAAGTCTAAAATAATCTTTGAGAGCTTTTACATGTTTTTTACTTCATGTCATTCCTTTGTTCACATGCCATACCAAATCAGTACTTTGGAATGAAATTACTGATTTCAAAATGGAATGAAAGTCAATGACAGTTCATATTGATTGTTTTATTATACATCTGTTACATATTTTCAATAGCATTATAAAAAAATTGGCTTATCAGAAAAAAAAAAAACACAAAAAACAAGAAAGAACAGAATGTTGGTCTGGAATTCATTACTGAGCAGATGACACTATATATCACATCATATTTTCTGTCTTTTTCTTATCTAAACCAATCTGCTATAAACATGTATCCTCTCAGAGGTCACCAAGGTCACCAAATTCATTGAAGGTGGTGATGGTCATTTATATGAAGATGAAGAAATTAAAAGACTGCTTCAGGGAGGTTAGTAAAAGGGAAACAACTAACCTCTTAACAGGTTCTGGTGAATTGAGTTATTCAACTTTTTAAAGACTGAGAATTCAGGCTTTTCTTTTAATTAGGTTAAAAAAGACACCATCAAGTGCTGTTCTAAGAGATTAATTGTTCAATGGTAGTTATGAAGAAATAATTGCTACTTTAAACAGTCTTTAAAAAGTTCTTTGGTTTACAGCTTGGGGAGCAATGAATATATATATATATATATATATATATATATTGCCTTGATACAGATAATTGTAAAGATGTTTTAAGTATATGAAATGGGAATATTTTTAAATTGGTAGCTAAAAGAAGACCGAAATGAAATACTTTTTATATTTAAAAAAATGTATTCACTGCTCTCACAACAATAATAAAAGGCATGTTTATGGAATCTTGAAGTGCATAAATCTAGCAGAAAAAATATTTCTTTAGTAATTTTCTTTGCCAAAACTACATTCTTAAGAATGGGCGTCTATTTCATCTAACAGTTTGAGTGACAATCCATACCTGGAGATGTAAATTACTTTGCACATGAAATTAATCTTAGTCTTTAAGTATGGAATGTTCTCTGTCTATGGCATTAAAATGACCTACTTTTAAAAGCAATGGAGAAAAAAAAGAATTCAAAATCTTACACAAACTCTAAATGGTAATTATTTGAAGATATAATAAGTGTTATTATATATAAAATATATAAAACATAATTTGGGCTATTGGCATTTGAATAAATAAATAATGTAGTTATTTTATTAACTACAAATATCTAGATGGCAAATTGTTTTAGAGAAACAAGCATTTTAATTATTTATAAAAGCCAAAAATACTCCTTGAAATGACCTACAAACTGAGAAATACAACTGAAGTTTGGCATTTATTCAAAGTATGATCCAGGTAACTTTTCTGATTAAAATCATAAAAGTTATGTATCCATGTCCAAAACATATATAAATTATCCTGGGAGCATGTGTAATTTTGGCAATTATTAATTCTTTATTTCAATACAGATAAAATTCTTCAACTGTGTTGAGACTACGTAACGATCATAAAAATCATTTTTATTCAACTGGTAGTTGAATTTCCTCAGTAGAAAGATATGTATATGTAAGGCACAAAACTTTCCTTTAGGAGCATATAGCCCACCCAAAGCGATAATAAACTCCGAATTTCCTGTAAAATTAAACAGACTTTATTCATCTTCTCCCAAATTTTTAACTCTGCCAGAATAACAGGGAGTTGATAAAATTGAATTCTGTTTTTCTTCATTCCTTACCATAGTAAACAGCTTTGTAGAATGGCAGTGCTTTTAGAGAATGATCAATTAGTAGCCACACCTGTTTGTATTGCTTTTTCATTTAGGCTTCAACCTCAGGTAAGTATATTTTCCTCACTTTTAAATAAGTCCCTGTTGACAAGCTCATAATAAACAGTGAACTGAATTGCTTCAGTCAAGAGAAGATATACCTGCTTCAAGTTAATAATATGCGGTATTCTATTTTCAGCTAATAGACTCTGTAACCTGTTTCTATGAAGCATCAGTTTCCACAATATCACATCAAAAATATTTATCAAAACATTTTCAAAGTTTTTCATCTCAGCAGTGTAGCTACTAATCTCTGACATTAATTGGACATGCTAATTTTCATTTTTCCAGCTCTGTAAAACCATTGGGCCATCACTGAGTCACAAACATACTTTTGTTGAGATCCTCAGATGCATCAACTCACAAAAAAGCTGGTGCGAATAAAGATCATGTCATGCAAGTCTGGCTTTTTTTTTTCTTCTGCAAGTATAGATAACTGAATATATCCAAATTATGTGTTTTTACTCAAAATTTGATATTTTCTGCCAGAGCAGATAATACCGTTGTACAGAGTACATTTTGATAAATTGACTGTATTTCTAGTCATTTAAATCATGACTATTATCATGTCTAAGTAGTCCCTCTGGTGATAATACTGCAATTTGTCACTGAAATATCTCAGAAAACTTAAAATAATGCCACGAAGTGAGTTTTTTATGCTTATCTTAAGTAGAACTCCATTTACTGAAACTGGTAACGTAATTAAGATACCATTGGGCTTTGGAAAAAGGAAGAAAAGAAAGTAATTTTGGAAGATTTTAACATATCTACCAAGAAAATATTTAAAGACCTATGCTATAAATAAAGAGAATAAGGGGCCTCCCTGGTGGCTCCGGAGGTTTAGCGCAGCGCTGTGAGGCTGTCGGTGGCCTTTGCGGCTCAAGTTGGATCGCCAGCCAGCCAGGGAGTAAGCCACATGGCTCAGCAGACCTCTCCTGTCTCGCCTGCAGCTCCCCTCAGCAGTGTATTTCAGTACATCTGCCTGTTCTGCTCCCTGCTCTCTCTGTTGAATCTTCTTACCCCCCACAACTCTGACCTGTACCCCACTTCTAAAAAAATAAAGAGAATAAGGAATCTGGTTGTCAGTATAGTTTCCAATGTTGGTTCCAACACAAATTGACTTACGTTGACCCTTTCTGCTTTGGTTTCTTCATCTGAAAAGTAGGGACAACAATGTTACCTACATCTAAATGAGATAATATATGAAAATGCTTTGGACTAATATAAGATCTCAACCCATATAAGATCTCAACCCATATAAGATCTAATATAAGATCTACTAATATAAGATCTCAACCCATATAAGATCTTGGTAATGTTAGCTACTGTCAATATTATGGTTAATGAACATTAATATGGTCAATAAAGCCACATTTTACATCCTAACTTAAATTCTAGAGTAATAGTCAAGTAAAAATGCAAAATCTGGCAAAGAATTGGGCTGAAACACTCTGCCGGTTTCAGAAGGCCAGTGATAGGAGAGAGGCACTGGTGTGGGTTACTCTTGATTATCTTCCTACATGTTGCTTCTCTAATTGAGACCTGCTACAACTCCTTCATTCTGAGACTGCAGAGAGTCACTGAAAACAAGTCTGATTTTCTGCACTTTACTCACACTATCTTGTAAAGATGTTTATTTGTTACAATGAATATGTCTTATTTTGATATTATATAAAGTAATAATAAATTAACAATTAGTTAATTGAATGCTCATTATTAGAAAGGGCCAGTGTAGACAGCAAAGAACTCTTTAAATCTATTTTTAATGTTAATGTTCCTTTTTTCTTTTAACTTGGTATCACACAATCAAAATGGTGATAATTTAATGCCTCATTTTTATGGGATTTCAGAGAATTGAAAGTTTATTCTTGATAGAAATTTTCATTTGTTGAGGATAGATGATATATGAAAAGCAAGAAGTAAAAATGGGGAGGAAGAATAAAGGTAAGCAGAAAAATTAAGTTGTTGCCAAAAAATGTATATAAATCATTTATAAAATGCATTTATTATTTGATCTCAAGTGCCCAGCAATAGAATAAAAATGTGAATTTAGGCCTACTAGGGGATCTTATTGATGAGTCCAAATAAAAGTAAGGGAATTGGGAAGTATTTTTTAACTATAACAACAGAAACCTGCATAGTTATTAATACACATGAAATTATTAAATATGAAAGTGTTATTGTAACTAGTTAATTTTTAAAATGGTCTTATAAGAACAAAATTTGGGGTTATGTTAGCATATATTTCATTGATTGCTTATTATATTCCTAGAGTTCCTAGGTCAGTGATATTTTGTTGTCCTCATATAATGTAAGGGTATAATTAACTATAAGGATAATTTTACAGAAACAGAAGTCTGATACTTCAAAAGAATATCTACATCTTAAAATGATGGTTATATGAAATTATACTTTTCTGCCTAACAACGGTCTCTTGTCTAATGTTAGTCATAATTTCAAAGTATTTATAATCATAACTATTTAATTTTAGATACACCTTTGAGAAAGATGGAAGTCAACAAAAGAGTTCAAGGTAAATGTATTGGCTATAATAATGTGCAGATATGATTTAAGTTTTTATATTAAGAGAAACCAAAAAAATGGAGAGTGTTTAATATTTTATTGAAAGTTGTCAGAAAGAAAAGTTGGCCTCTTTTGAAGCAAAGTATTTTATGATAGGAATCAGGAAATAAATTCTTGTTATGCATTATTAGTAAAATCTATCATTAACAAATGTCAAAGGAAAAGTAATTATATTCATTATGTATCTTATAATCATGAATTATATTGAGGCAAACTGCTAAACATATTGAACCATTGAGACAGACTCAAGTAAAGTAAAAAGTATCTTTAAATACCAGAGTTGAACAAAAGTAAGTTGCAGGTAGATTTGAACTGTGTGCACATAGAGAAAAATATCAGTGTTACTATGTACAAAATTTTATATAAATATATAGATGCCATCCATATATATATATATCTATATATATAGAAATATATATCTATATATATAGAAATATATCACCAATTCACTACAATTTTCTCTGTGACTATAATATGTGCATTTCCTAATCTCCCACTTAGGTTCCTTACATTTATACATTCAAAAAATTAAAGGTGTCTCTCATGGAACTTCTAACAAATTACAGGTTGAATTTCTAATATAATTAGAAGGGTCTATGAAAGCATTTTGGACATCTCTGTCTTTGGGCCAATGCAATATAGGCATTTGAATGAAGGAATTAATTGTACAAATATTTATAACTGAAGGTTTTACAAAAATTCTTCTTAACATTCAAATTCATCCAAATTTTCCAAAGAACTAAAGTCATTAAAATTATTTTCAAATACTTTTGTTCAAGAGAAACCCTGATTTCATCACCATAAACTGAGAATATTATTAAGAAAACATAATCCAACATTTATTACAATAAGAAATGGTGTATTTTTATATATACGACTATGCATGGAAAATCATATTTTTAAATTACATTATTCTAATGTTTCATAACATTTGCAATCTTTTGTTCTCTATCCTTCCTAATCAGGATCTAGAAGACGTTCAAGGGAAGGTCGTTCTCAATGAAAATCCAGGAACCAGACAACAAATTTTATAAAACCCTAAATCAGTAACCTGATCTGAAAGGGAAATTATGAGAGCCACTTTGACTTCTGGAAATGAACAATCAGCACAAAAAAGCAATCATGAAATAATTCTGAATGCAAATTTAATTTTTTTTTCTGAATGCAAAACATGAGGGAAATTATAGGGTTAGCCTTTTGGGGGATAGGACTTGAGGAAAATACAACACTTTTTTTAGGCTTTTACATCTTACCATTAAAATTTTTGGCTAATTTTGTAATCCCTCAAGAAAATCCTTGTGAAATCTTAATGATGAGTTGTTATCCCATCGAGAATACCTAGCCTTGAATTTATATAATGATTTTTAAAAATGCATGCAAGCAGTTACCTCTCCATGCAATGTTATAAAAAATGGGTGCTCACTATTAAAAAATCAAACTTTCACAACAAAAGGCTTTACACATTTCTAATACAATGTGGGTTTACCAGTAAATTATGTTATTTCTACAACTAATTTTGTACTCCTGAAATATTTGCCATATGCTTCTTTGCAATACATATTTTTATCTCAAACATTTCAATGAAGCCATTTTTCAGGTATAAAGAGAATTACTTCAAATTGGGTAATTCAAAAAACTCAAGGTTTACATTAATAAGTTTGGACTTGGGAACAGGACTTTATACCTCTTTTTGTTTTTTAAATAACAAATACTTATTAAAGGAAATTGAATAAATTTAGCGTTTCTTGTTTTTCTTTAATTATTCTTCCATAAAGAATCAAAGCACAATGAAACAATCATTAATCAACTGAAAACCTAATGTAACACTTAATGTGTGGTTAAAGAGATTAATCAAACAATTATTTTCCTCAAAGGGCAGAGACAAATCATCAATAATTCAGAATTCATCATGAGTTATAATAAAATAAATAGTAACTCACAAACACAAATACATCAATTAATTATTCCTAGGTTCTTGCTAGATATAAGAGGCACAGAGATAACTTTAACTACTAAGACTTGAAATAATGTAAGAGTCTACTACATGGCAAAGGAGAAGCAGAAAACTATTTGCTGAAAATGATAAAGAGACTGGTTCAATTTACTTAGATCTCACAAAATAACATCCTTAGCTTGGACTAAATGAAATAAGAGAAGTGAAGGAATAGAATACATACTGATGAGAAACTGAGCAGTGATAGTTTGCCAAGATTATACCACGCTTTGGAAGGCAGTCATTGAGAGACTGAAGGCTAAACAGAAGATAACAGGCTAGAACATACATGTCTAGCTTGGATGGGAGGTTCAGTAGTGAAGTATCACTAAATTCCCTGAAAGCATTTTTTGTTTGTTTGTTTGTTTGAGGAGCAATTGGGATAAGGAAGTGAAATATAAAAATCTAACAGTAGGGCCTCCCTGGTGGTGCAGCGATTGAGCACTGGGCTGCGACTCCGCAGCGCCAGTTCGATCCCCGGCCACTGGCGAGGGTCCCACAAGGCGCGCAGACCTCTCCTGCCGCCCGCTGCTCCCCTCAGCGGTGTACTTCGGTCCATCTGCCTGTTCTGTTCCCCGCTCTGGCTCTGGTGAATTCTCTCACCCTCCCACGCTTCTGACTGTACCCAGTGCTTGTATAAACAAATAAAATTAAAAAAAAAAAAAGAAACCATTAAAAAAAAAATCTAACAGTAATGCTTTCTGAAATTTTTCACGATGTGTTCTACTCTATTTAGCATTTAGACTTCCTGAAAAAGAACCAAATGTTCTACCAACTCAGTACTCATACAGAGGATCCTGGGGCTTCAATCTCAACAGGACAGGATGTGGAGTGACTTTACCAAAACGATTCAGAGGAAATGATTACACAGGTGGTACTGCAAGAATATATTAAAATATCATTGACGCAGATGGCTATTCCAAACAGAGCATGTTATTTGACCCTCTAGGAGAATCACAAGTTATTTATATAGAACAAATAGTAGATAAATTCATGCATTTAGCTCCTTCAGGATTTTAATTTGATGATGAACTAGATGTTCAAGAGTTGGACTTTAAACATGGTAATTCTAACTACAGGAGTGAGGTTGAAGTCTTTTTAAATGCTGTTAACTTTGAAGCCCTGTTGTTGTTTTTTTTTAACCAGAGAAGGAAAAGGAACTCAGTATTGGCTAGAACACATACAAAAAACTAGCATATCTCTATGGTAAAGGAAAGATTCTTTCATGTGACACATGTAAATATGTTTTAAAATAAAATTTAAAGAGGAATTATTAATTATTAAACATTTTAATTATTAAAACTATCACATGCTTGTTACAAAATATATTTTTATCTCAAACATTTCAAGAAAACAATTTTTCAAGTATAAAGAGAATTATAATAATATAAATAAAAATTAAAAATATATGAAAATAAAGAAGTCTAAAACCCTAAAGTGGAGATTTAAAATAAATAAACATCATTCTTACTCAATTCCTATTGAGATATTTTCTAAAAATTGAAGAAGCAGTGCAAAATGTGCTTCTATAGACAATATTTAATCTTTTAAGCTTCTGAAGAGTTTTGTTATCTCCAGTTTTATAGGAGAAAATGAAACTCAGTAGTTTACTTTTATTTCTTGTTTTGCCCTGCACTCTTAAATGAGACCATCAATCAACTTATCACATGTCCATTTCCCAACAAGTACAAGCTCAGGCATGGCAAACACTGGTTTTCACAATAGTGCTGCCAGACTTCAGCTGATGTCAGCTCTTTTTCTAACCATCCTTTGCTTAAGTGGCATATGGTAAGTTTGAGTACACTGAATTTAAGACTGTGGTTTCAGCAGAAATCTCTATAAAGCAATATTTTCAAAGTTAAGGTCTAAAGAACTTGCACATCTGGATCAACTAGATGTTATTTTAAAATGTAGATATGGGTCCACCTAAAAAAACAGCTAATTGTTTGGGCAAACTTCCCCATTAACTCTTACTAAAAGTTATTTTTTTGTTTTTTAACAGCTTTATTGAAGTGAAATTGGATTATACTACAAACATTTTAGTTATGGCAAGTTATAAACCTATATAAATCCATCACCACAATTAACACTGTGAACATATCCATCACCTTCCAAAGTTTCCTCATGCCTCTTATAATTCCCACCTTCCTGCCTCCCTACCTCTCCATTCCCTAATCCCCAAATATCCACAAATCTAACTTATCTCACTACAAGTAACTACATTGTCTGCTTTTCATATAAATTGAATCATATTGTATGTATGACTTCTTTCCCTTTCTCTTGGATTAATATGGAGGCGTGGAATTGCAAGACTATATGGAAGGTACATGATTAACATTTAAGGGAACTGCCAAACCATACTCTAACAGAATTCTAGTATTTTGCATCCCCACCAGAAATATGCAAGAGTTCCAACTTCTCTTGACAATACTTAACATGGTCATTCTTTTTAATTTAGGGATGGCTTACAATGTTTACAATATTTTGTCACCTAAACATAAAATAACATCTCTCAGACTATATATGTCTTCCTTAATTGCCTTACCAATAATTTATAGTTAATTGTACAGGTGTTACATATCTTTTTTTTTTTAAAGATTTATTTATATATGCATCCAAGAGCTGGGGTACAGGCCAGAGACGATGTGGGGTGAGAGGATACACCAGAGAGAGTGTGGAGCAGAATAGGCAGACTGACAAAATACACTGCTGAGGGGAGCAGCAGGCAAGACAGGAGAGGTCTGCTGTGCCATGTGTGTAGCTCCCTGGCTGGTCAGGGATCGAGCTAGTGCTGCAGAGGCTGGGGATTGCTTCACAGTGTGGTGCTTAACCCCTTGGGCCACCCAGGAGGCCCAGTTACATATCTTTTGTAAATTCTCCTTAAGTACCTAAATTTTTTTGACAGCATTATAAATGGCATTGTTTCTTTATCTAAATTGCTGGTTGTTTGGTTTTTTTGTGTGCTGATCTTGATTCTATAAACTTGTTAAATCCACTTGTTACTAGAACCTGTTAGTTCTAGTCTTGTTACCAGAACTTATTAGTTTAAGTAATCTTTTTGTTGATTACCTCATATTTCTATACAGATAATTATGTCTGAAAATAAAGACAATTTCACTTCTTTCTTTGCAAATTTGATGCTTTTGCTATTTTCTTGTCTTATTTTATGAGATAATATGGGGTCGAATTTTACAGGATATGAATAGTAAAATAATGTCAAATAGAAGTTATAAGAGGGCCTCCCCTGGTGGCGCAGGGCTCAGCCTCCTGGTTGAGCACAGCACTGTGAAGCTGTCCACAGCCTCTGCAGTGCTGGTTCGATCCCGGCCACCCAGCGAGAGTCCCACATGGCACCGCAGACCTCTCCTGTCTCGCCCACTGCTCCCCTCAGCAGTGTATTTTGTCAGTCTGCCTGTTCTGTTCCCCACTCTGTCTCTGGTGAATCCTCTCACCCTCCCACGCATCTGGCCTGTACTCTGGTTCTTTTATAAATAAATAAATAAATCTTTAAAAAAAAAGAAGTTATGAGTGAGCATTCTTATTCTTCATGATCTTAGAAAAGAGCCATTCAGTATTTCAGTTTTAAGTATGTTTATGTTGAAGTTAACATCACTACTTGTCTCCTAGATATCAATTATCAGGTTGAAAAAAAAGTGCTTTTTTTCAAACTTTACTTAGAATTCTTTTTCAGGAAAAAAAGTTGCATCTCAACTTTTGCCATTTATAATGCCATCAAAAAAATTTAGGTACTTAAGGAGAATTTACAAAAGATATGTAACTGGGCCTCCCTGGTGGCGCAAGGGGTTAAGCACTCTGAAGCAAGCCTCTGCAGCACGAGTTCGATCCCCAGAAGCCAGGGAGCTACCTACATGGTGCAGCAGACCTTTCCTGTTTTGCCCGCTGCTCCCCTCAGCAGTGTATTTCATCAGTCTGCCTGTTCTGCTCCCTACTCTGTCTCTGGTGAATCCTCTCAATCCCTGCATTTCAAATGATTTTTCTACATTTATTGAGATAATAATAATGTGGGTTTTCTTTTTAGTTTATTAATATGGTGCATTATATGGAATTAATTTTGAATGTTAAATCCACCCCATTCATTTCATTCATTCTGGGGTGAATTCTACTTGGTCATGTTATATTCATTATGCAAAAGTTCGTTAAGAGTGTTTATAAGTATGTTCATGAAGTATATTGGTCTTTAATAATAGGTGTTTTTTTTTTTTTGTTTTGTTTTTTTGGTCTAAGTTTGGGATCATGGTTATGCAGGCTCCACAAGATGAGTTGGGAAAAATTCTCTTCAGTTTTTAGAAAGTGTTTGTGTTGAGATGATACTTTCCTTAAACGTTTGGTAGAATTCCCAATAGGACCTATAGACTTGGAGTTTTCATTGAAGGATGGATTTTAACTACAAATTCATATTCCTTAATGTAGGGCTATCCGGATTATCATTTTTCTTCAGTGAAATTTGGTCCTGTGTCTTTCAAGAATCTTGTCCATTTCACACAATTTTCAATTTGTTGGCCTAATTTTGTTCAAAATACTCCACAATTTTTTTTTTTAAATCTCTAGTGTCATGACTCAACAAAAACAAAGTAAATAATCCAGTCAAGAAATGGGCAGAAGAACTTAAAAGACATTTCTCCAAAGAGGCAATGCAAATGGCCAACAGGCATATGAAAAAATGTTCAGCATCCCTTATAATCAGGGAAATGCAAATCAAAACCACATTGAGGTA